ACTCCAGACAGAAAAACAGAAAAGTGATGCTGGAACAAAAAGGATCTTTTTTTTTTACCTCCTTCAATTAGTACTCCCTGCAACGTGCAAGCTATGAGGACTGGAAACCTGTCCAGTGAGAACCACAGAGTCAAATAACTTTGGAGCACGGGAACTCATCTCCATTTATTCAAAGAACTCTCCTCTCTTTCTCTCCATACAGGGGAGGAAAAACAAAACAAAAATCAATCAGGGTCAACATGGCTACCACAAGAGTGCCGCCCTTTTTTTTTCAAAGTCAAAGCACACAATATAAAACTCTCGCAGGCTGTTATAAAACCCGGTGTTGAGCTTCCAGGACCGGTTTCACCTGGTCAGATCTGTTCCTTTTATTGCCTGGAACAGATCCATCAGGTGGGGTTCTGAATTTTATGCATTATTGCAGAAATATCGCCCGCCAGGGGGTTTCTGGCTGAATCCAGGTGGGAGAGCGGCTCCTGGATGTAGGACCACGGTTCCACCTCACTGGTTTTCTTCCTTTTATTCCCCTGCATCAGCACCAGCAGCCCCGTGCTGGAAATCAGCCGTTACACCCGCCGGTGCTCGCCTGACGACTTTTGATCGCTTATATCTCAGTGTGGGTACGCCCCAGGAACTTGCGCCCTTCCAGGTTGTAGCAGAGGTCCAGAACTTTAAAATGAGCCATGTCCCGCCCGGATCCGACACTCAGAGCCGGTGCTAGAGGCTCCGGAGTAAATTGAGTACTATYTCGCCCTCCAAAGCGCCTTTTTCGGCCGGTCGTTGGTTAATAGCTCCGCGGGGGAATGTCCCAGGAACTTGCAACCACCTCCAGTTTGTAGAGGAGGACCGTAGCTTTCCAAAGTCAGCTCACTTTCCTGGATCCGATGCTCAGAGCCCGCGGGAGAAGCAAACGAAGGTTGAAATTTCCTCCCAAAAATGCGCGTAAAATGCACTAAGTCGTGTGTAATTTGCTTATAGCTCCGCGGGGCAACGTCACAGAGACTCCATTCAAGTATCAGCTTGTAGGGCAGAAATACTGTAAATCTTTAAAACCCGACCAGCCATTCCGGGTTCTGACGCTCCTAGCCCGGGAGGGGGGCTAAAACCACCCCGGTGGGAGGTCCGATGGTGCGTATTTTGGAGGTGTTTTGCTTATTGCTCCGCGGGGTAACGTCGCAGGGACTTTAATCAACTTTCACATTGTAGGGCAGAACCAGAACTTTATAACAAGACCAGCCACTCTGGGATGCAATGCTCAAAGCCGGCGCTAGAGGCTCCGCAGCAAGGTTGCGCTGCACGGGCAACTGGGAATCAGCTGGCAACTGGTTGGGCACCCCTGATCTAGACTCTTTGGCTCCGTCCTGGACCTAAAACTGTCACTTGCTTATGGAGGTAAATTTGTGTTTTTATTATTCAATCAAACAAAAAAGCATCTTCAATCAAAAAAATAATTTCAATCAAAAATGTTTTTTTCAACCAAACAAAAAATAAATTCAATCAAAAAATAATATTTTCAACCAAAAAAAAAAAATTCAACCTATTGTATATTGT